AGGCCGTCCCGACACTCTAGCGCTTGCCGGCCAGCTCCTCTCGCCTCATCCTATTTCACCATCCTTGCTGTGACCTGCCGACTCTGGCCGCTTCTCCTCTCTCCTGCCTTCCGCGACTGTCCCCCTCAACCTCGGGATTTCAGCCTTTTTTTCCCTGGAAACTAACATCTCTCACTTTGCTTCTTGTAGGCACCTGAAAGGGTGAAGGCGAGAGGCAGATGACGACGCTGAACACAGGCTCTGCAAGGTTCGGAACTGGAATGGGCTTGCTTAAACTATTTCTGCCTCCCTCCCCTTTACATGCCGTTTGATCACTCTCCTCTTCTAGAATCTTTGTCCCCAGAAAGTGCTTTTGCTCAAATCTGCTGAAAGTGCAGTTGGAAAAAAAAACGGGTGGGGGGAGGCTTCCCAGCAGCAACCAATTTGAAGTCTGTTATGTGGATGGAACTGGATTCTGTTTGACATAGCTAGCCAAAGCTTGAGTTTAGTCTGTAAGGAAGGGCCTGGGCATCCCGTACAGCTGTAAGATATAAGTGGCTATCACACACAACCTCTGAGTGAATTATGACAGCTCAGAGACAGCCTACAGCATTGTCTTTTTACAGAGAATTTGTTTACACCTTCCTAGGATGGCAGTGTTTGGCTTCCAGTAGCAGTTCTAGCCATATGTTTCTAGATGGTCTTTTACATTGCCTCATACCCAAATAAAATTATGCCAGACATTTACTGGGAAGAAATTAACTCGTCACAGTAATTTTGACTGTGTTTTAGAAGTTGAAGAATACTGGACAGTGAGGGTTTTATTTTGGAAGCAGGAGGAAACTGAATATCGGAATAAGTGTAGTACCTTGGGCAGAGAGGGAGGGAAAATGAGAATATATATGTGTACAAAACTTCGCTGTTCTCATGTCATTTTCATGACTATATCTGGGGTTACTTTTCTTAGTTCTCAAAAGAGAACAGTAAGCTGTGAATTTAGCATCAGATTCACTGTGTTTTGGAGTTTGTAAGCTTTTGTGGAAAAGCTTTTCGGAAAAGTTTTTTTTTTTTTTTTTTTTTTTTTTTTTTTTTTCTGGCTTGTAGCCAGATAAGTTCAATATAATTCCTTGTGTTTTGCTGTGGTAAGATTTTAGTCTTAATAGAGAAAGAAGTAAGTCTGTTCAAGTGAATTAAAAGCAGTCTTTCCTCTGAGGTGACAACATTGTCTCATAGGCCATATGTTTGAGCCTTATTAGTGAATCACACTGGAAAGAGCAGGATATTAAAACTGTTGTAATTCATGTCTATAATAGCAGTTGTCAAAGTCACAGGCAAACTGCAGATCTCTGAATTGGTCACTATTATAAATTGCTGTTGAGTCTGCAGTTGAAAGCCAAGTGTATGTATCATGTCTTTGGATAAATCTGTACTTAGTGATTACTTATTTAGAGATTTAGGTGGTAGCTTTTGCTTCCTTCCCAGAGATCTGACCTTGATCATAGAGTTCGGTAGAGAGACCTGTAAGTCAAGGATTAAATGCACAGAGGGTTCTGCAGTTCAGGGTATAGGACAAGGGAGAAGCCCATGTTCCATCCTCCTCTTTCATTGCTCTAGACCTTCTGAAGTGCATTTCCTTAACCTACCTAACCCATGTAGATTATTATCTTAAATCCTGAAAAGCATTTATCCTGCTAGATTTTCCCTATATTTTTACATAACAGGGAATGATTTCCAGAAGTGTGATTTTGTCCACTAACAGGTGCCAGAGTTAAAGCTCAAACTCTCAACTTAACCCCAAAGCGAGAGTTTATAGCACAAATCTATCCACTACTGCCTCTGTCCTCTGGCTGTCTCATTGTGAGCGCCAAACCAAGACGGTCCAAACTTGCCTTACTTACCTTAGTTTGTGACAGACACAAAGAACAGTAGGCATGTGCTGCTATCTGCATATCCATGTGTATGACTTAGTTTTCTTTTTGTGGCAAATACCTGACAAAAGCAGCTTAAAGAAAGAAGGATTTGCTCTAGCTCACAGATTGAGGGGTACAGTCCATCATAGCAGCTGGGACTGGAAGGAGCTGGTACCATTGCATCCAAAGTAGCAGAGAGATGAATCTCAGCTCACTTTTTTTGTTTGTTTGTCTTTTTTTTTTTTTTTTTCTTTTTTTTTTTTTTTTTCTTTTTTTTTTTTTTTTTTTTTTTTTTTTTTTTTTTTTTTTTTGAGACCTAGTTTCTCTGTGTAGCCCTATCTGTTGTGAGACTGGTTCTGTATACCATGCTAACCTCAAACTCACAAAGATCCACCTGTCTCTGCCTCCCGAGTGCTGGGAGGTGTGCGCTACAACTACCCAGCTCAGCTCACTTTTTTTTTCTTCCCTAGTTTGAGATGTTGCTGTTCACTTTCTATGATGATCCTAAATCTAGTCAAGATAACAATGAAAATTAACCATCATACCATGAATGACTTCAAAGGGAGAACTAGTCTCAGTTTGGGGATTACATGCAAATTTTAGCAAGTAAAAAGATTTGCACATAGAATTGTACTTGTGAATGATCCCTAGTCCTTATTTCATTCCCTCCCTCCAAATCCATCTAGAATGATCCTTTGGTGTACTGTGAAATTTGCTCACTTATTCATTCAACAGATATTTATTAAGCACTTACTATAAGCTGTACTCTAGATGATAGCAAATGAGCTGTAGATTAAGGTCCTGCCTTCTGGGTCTTGTATTTGAGTTAGAAAAATAGACAGCTAAGGCTTTTGTAGGTTGAAATTAGAGATTATCTTATCTGGTTGAACACCAAGTGTACTCTTTCCTGCTTCAAAGCCCAAGAGGACTTCCAGACCACTTCTACTCTTTTTCATATTTTTGAGCCTTTCTCCAATAACCTGTATCTGTGTGTGTACCTGCACATGGGGATGGGAGAAAGCGATATGTATGTGTGCCTGTGAATATGAAGACCAGAGGTCAACCTCAGGTGTTCTTAGGACATGGCCACTTTTTTGTGTGTGTAAGGAGGAAGTGTAGGATCTCTTGCTAGCCTGAAACTCACCAATTACACTAGGTAGACTTGCCAACATTTGTTAGGGATCTGCCCAACTGCCCTGACAGGGCTGGTCTACAAGATTACACTACCATGCTTGCCTTTTTTATAGGTGGGTTCTGGGGACCAATATCAGGTCTTTATGTTTCTAAGACAAGTACTTTACTAACTAAGCCATCTCTTCATTTGTGGGATATAGTGCTGACCTGTTCTTTGAAATCTGGATCTGCAGTGTACTAAGTGAACAGCTGTGGTACAACTTGCACTTTTGAAACTGTCCTAATTTCAAGATTGATGATGTGTAGACACTTTTTTACAGTTCAAGGGAGAAGCGTACATACCTTATCTGTTGTGGTGAGGGATGAATGTAAAAGAGAATGGGAAATCATTTCAGCATCCATATTGTCTGGACTTTAGTGCTTTCAAAACCATATAGATTAGTGGTTCTCAGCTTTCCTAATGCTGCAACCCTTAATGCAGTTCCTTGTGTTGTTGTAACTCCCAACCATAAAATTATTTTTGTTGTTACTTCAAGACTGAAACATGCTGTTGTTATGGATTGTAATGTAAAATTCTGATATGCAGGATATCCGATATGTGACCTCTGTGACAAGAATCATTTGGTTGAGACCCACTGTTATAGAGCAACAACTTGGCAATATTTAAGATATGATTTTAGTCCTGGATACCCACCTTCTCATGCTTTGTGCACCCAACTTTTTTACCCCCCAAATGGAAAAGTCCTATTAGGCAGAATTTTGAGTCAAGCAAGGTTCTTGGTTCCTATATGTCGTCTTTGGCTGAGGTATTGAGTCCTGGCCTGGTCTCTTGTAGACAAAAGGGGTTGGTTTCATGTGTTATCTGTCTTTCAAACTAGTATATTTGAAGAGGATTCTGGAGACAGTTACTTTTCTTCAGAGGGCAACTGAGGGGTCCTAGGATTTTGTGGGCCTAATCTTTAGACACTATCTTATATGATAATAGGTACTGTCAGATAAAGCATTTAGCAAAATAGTTGACACATGTCAAATATTCAATACCTCTTCGTCCTGGTGTGTTGTGGTAGAATTTCTTGTTCATATGGCTCTCTTCCTTACTACACACTGTGAGCTCCATGATAGCAGGTTCCACAGTTCCATCCTTCTGTCCTTGATGCTTGGCTGAGAACCTGATACATGGCAACTGTTGCACAGGTATCTGATCTGTGGACTTCTCAATTCCTCCTGAAAGGAAGGCAGTGGGGAGCGGGGTTACCAGGCTTTCTAGAGAAGGTATTATGTAAGTTGATTCTTCCCCTACACACACACACATACACACTCAGCCACCTCTCCCAATCTTTTCTTCTTCAGCACATAGACCATCATTCTTTGCTACTTCATCATGGTTTACGTAGCCATTTCCCTTTGGTGGATAACATTGTACTATTACAAACAGCCACACGCCTAGTTCATGCTCATATACCCCGATGAAGCCTCTGGAATAGTTCACATTAGATCGCCAACTGGTTACATGTTTACTCCACTAAAAGTTAGCCCCATTTCTAATTCTTATTATATAGAAGCAAGACTTCGTTGGACAAAAATTGTGTACACTTAAGGGATGTATATGTATCTCATCAAAATGACTAAACAACACCAAAGATTTACCCATGTCTATTTTTAAATGCATATATCTGTATGTATACACATGAACATAAACACAGCAAGTATAAAATAATTACTATCTGAGGAAGGTGACTAGTGCTCTGTAGGCGCCCATCAGTATTTGCTATTTCTGAACTATAACATTTTAATTGAAAATACCAATTCAAGTAAAGTAGGACCCACTCCTCTTATCTGCATGTCTGTATGGTGCCTCTGTGTGCTCAAAGAGCACTTCTCAGAAAATACCCTCAGTAATCTGCATGTCATTAATCACTTTCCTTTAATTTAGACTGCATTTTACTCCTATCTCTTTTACTTTACATTACATGGCAAATAGTTGTTTGTCTGTCTCTTTGCTGGCTATGAGCTCAATGAGAATGTTTCATTATATTTTCAGCACTTACAGTGTATGATACATAGGAGATTCATAGGTAGTGAATGAGTAAATTTTACCATGTTACAGACTGCAGAATTTAATGCCTGCATTAGTAAATTGTCATAGATACCTCAGCCCCAACCAGAGAGTTTTACATTCTTCCCCTAAAACTTACATCTGTTGTAAGTTTCTGTGGTCATGGTTAGTTCATTTGTACTATGCCCTCTGGCTAAGCCATTTGTAGTTGTTTTTTTTTTTTTTTCCTTGAGTAAATTTTCATTGTTTACTTTTTATTTTTATTGTGATTTTTTTTCAATCTGCCAGGCATGTTCAGGAAACCCATCATCTTTTCATATCTGTGCCTCCTGCACCTGCTAGTCTCCTTGAAATGCTGATTCAAGGATTTGTTTGTCTAGAAAACATTCCAGAAATAATCTTGAGGGCTGAGTGCAGATCAGTGCTAGAGCCCACTTTCTGTGTTTTTTAAGTGGTTTGTCATTGCACTGAGTGGTAACAGTAAATCTTGAAATCCCTTTGAAACTAAAAATGGAACTAGAGAGATGGCTCAGTGGTTAAGAGCAGTGGGTGCCTTTCAGAGGACCTGGTTTCAATTCCTAGCTTCATGTTGTATCACACAAATGTCAGTAACTCCAGTTTCAGGCTATCTAATGCCCTCTTCTGTCCTCTGTGGGCATCAGCAATGCACATGGTACACAGACATATATGCAGGCATAACATGAACACATATAAAAATAAATAAATGAATATTTTTAAAAAGGAAAGAAAATGTAAAAAATGAAGCCAAAGTCATAGGCCTGACATGGAAGCTGAAAACTGGAGACATTGATTAAGTAACTCATGTGTTCTTGTGCATATGCACACTGCATAAGTGTGTTGTGTTTAGATACATAAATACTATAAATACTGTATACATGTTTAAGTTTTTGTTTGTGGCTTGTTTGTTTTGAAATAGTCTTATGTAGCCAGGCTTGCCTGGAACTTTGTGTAACCAACATGTGCTAGGATTGCACGTGTGTGCCAGCATACCTAGCTACAAATAAATTTTGGATTTTTATTGTTTGCCAGAGAAGATGGTACTGTCTGAACTGAGGCATCATACGCAGGATGTTTGGGTGAGGAGGGGAGCTCTGGAAGCCATACCTATATAGAGGAGTTTTGCTTCAGTGAGTTTTCCTGATTTTTTCTTCTGTCAGTCTCCCTTTTCAAATTGAGCAGCTAGGTCAACATGGACTGTTTGGAGAAGTAACTGTTACACACAGTGGTCTAGTGCTTCCCTGAGAGAACACATGCTTGTTTTGTTCCCTTACCCCATGGAAAAGTTTGTGTAAAGAAAGGAAAGGGAGAATTAGATTCTAGGCTAGCCACTATTCTGAAGTCTGGCAGCACATTAGAAACAACACAGGCATTTTCTAAAAAAAGAGTATAGGTTTCTTTTTTTTTTTTTACTATCTTTTTTTTTTTTTAAAGATTTTATTTATTATGCATACAGTGTTCTACCTGCATGTTTGCCTGCACACCAGAAGAGAGCACCAGATCTCATTGTAGATGGTTGTAAGCCACCATGTGGTTACTGGGAATTGAACTTCCTCTAGAACTGCTCTAAATCTCTGAGCCATCTCTCCAGCCCCTGAGTTGTAATATCTAAAGGCGGAGCCTCAGAGCCTAATATTTAGAAATTTCAATAGTTGTATGTGTCTGTATGTGTTTATAGGTCAGAGAGGTCAGTGTTGAATGTCTTCCTCACTCTCCACTTTATTTACTTATTTGTTTGCTTGTTTACATAGCTTCTCTATGTAGCCCTGGCTTTCCTGGAACTTTCTGTGTAGATCATGCTGGCCTGGATTTCCTATCGATCCACTTTGCATTTTGAGACAGGGTCACACTCACTATAAATGTAACCAGACAAGTTATACTAGACAAGTTGGTGGTGAGTCCCCAGGGGTCTTCCTATTTCTGCCACCCCAGTGCTGAGGTTACTGGCATTGTATATGAGTTCTGGGGCTCAAACTCATGTCCTCATACTTGAGCACTTTGCTGACAGAGCTATCTCTTCAACCCAGCAACCTAAAGCAATTTTATATAAACATCTTGGTGCTAAATCATGGGTCAGGTGCTAGTCTCCTGTGAATGTTCTCCAGCCTATAGAATAAGAAAAATGAGGACCTTTTAGTGTTTTTCATAAAACTAAATTCATAGGGCCTATCAGATTGTCTTTTGCATTGAATTAAGGCTTTCCTATGTTTTTCTTTTTTTGTGTTTTTCTCATATTTTTCTCATATGCTAAATAGTCTCTTATAAAATGTCATCAATAAGATTTTTATATTTTGCAATTTAAAAAACTTGTAATCCTGTTTTCCTAAAGATATTTCAAAATATTACTAGTTTATGAGTTCCTGAATACTTTATAGAGTACCTCAGAAATGTAGCAACTCTCAGAAATGAGATTCTTTGGAAGGCAAATCTGTAGAGGCTCTGAAACCTGTAAGGCCAGATGAAACTCAGTCTAGAAAGATGTGCTCTTTGTGGTATGCAATACTCTGCAGCTTCTAGAGTATCACTGTTAAACACGCTCATACTTCTGAGCAAACAAGAATGTTTATGCCAGGCAGGCAAATGAAGGCCTCACATTAGTTGAGGTCAAGTTTTACTACCAACTAAGTTCTGACATGAAATATATGGGGGTGGGGGCAGGGATTAAACTTTTAAAGCTTTTGGGATGTTCAAGAGTTGCCTATAAGAGATTATAGGTGGGGGCTGGCAAGATGGCTCAGCAGTTACAAACACTGGCTGCTTTTCCAGAGGACTTGGGTTCACTTCCCAGTAGCCACATGGCAGTTCACAACTGTCCGTAACTCTATCCAGTTCCAGATCTGACACCCTTATATAGACATGCATGCAAGCAAAACACCAATGCACATAAAATAAGAATAAATTAATTAATAAAATGTTTTTAAAGAGATAGGTATTCTGAAAGTATTGGCAAGCATCTGATTGAATACAGCTTTGAATGTTTATGTTAAGGGATATTGTGCATTGTATATAATTTAAACATACTAATGGGTAATGTGAATGTGTTCCTTCCGACTACCTCAATTCTCTTACCAAATAGCATTTTTCCTCGGTTCCTATTCCCTAGCCATTTGCAATATTTGAAAAAAAAAATAGCTGTTTTCATAGTTTTTCTGAAATTAAATGGGTAGTAATTAAGAGCATGGACTTATCAGGTGAGGTGATAACATGCAATTAATTCCAGATGCCCAGGAGGCTGAGGCAAGAGCATGGCAAGTTTTCGGCCAGCCTGGACAACTTAGCAAGACCCTGTCCAAAAAACAAAACAAGCCAGGTATGGTGTCTCAAAAAACAAAACAAGCCAGGTATGGTGGTACGTGCTTTTAATTCCTGCACTTGGGAGGCAAAGGCAGGCAGATCTCATTCAAGGCCAGCCTGGTCTACATAGGTCCAGGCTAGCCAGCATAGTGAGATGAGACTCTGTCTTACAATTTTAAAAAAAGAAGGAAAAGTAAAAGCATCAGTACAGCTCCATAGTAGCTTTCAACATTGGCTTCAGGAAAGAAAGAAAGTCAGGTTCTGGCACTTCCCCAGTTGAATTAATATCTCAGGCCAGATTGACTGTGGAAGAAGAGCCTGTGAAAGGAGAATAGTAGCCATCAAGTATGTGGAAGAGTTATAACTTTATCCTTGTTCTACATCTAGATTTTGAGTGGTTCATATGGTTATTTTCTACATGCTAAGTTATTGGGAGGGGGCTTCTCTTACTCTAAAAGGTCTAGTGCAGTAGTTGTCAATGTTCCTAATGCTTGTGATCCTTCAATACACTTACTCATGTTGTGGTGACCCCCACCCATAAAATTATTTTGTTGTTACTTCATAACTGAAATTTTGATGAATCATAATTTAAATATTTGATATGTGACCCAAAGGGGTCAAGACCCACAGATTGAGAACTGTTGGTCTAGGGGAACTTTGCTTAAATGCATTCTCATTTCATGGTGACGTTAGTTCTGTTTTTACAGTTTACATAGTCCAAGGTTCCTAAGCAGTTTTTCCAAAGGTCCTGAGGTGTAGCCCATATTCTACCACTGAAGACTTCCCTCTCTAAAACCTGTCTTCCTGACTACAGCACATGGAAGCGCCCTTCTCCTACCCAGAGAGCAATTCTGCCCTGACCTTGGCTTCCTGAACAAGATTTCTTCAATAGTTAACTTTGAAAGTTTGTTCCTCTTTAACGTGTGTGTGTGTGTGTGTGTGTGTGTGTGTGTGTGTGTGTGTCCTATGTTTCTGTCTCAATATATTTAGGCTCTCTTCTCCCCTCTTAGTTATAACAGTTCTTTTTTCTTTTTCTCAAAATTGTATCAAATACAATGGTCATTTGGTTGGTCTTGGCAGTGTGAATTGTTTGAATTAGATGATTTCACTGTGGTAACTTTTATGTCTAGCCTTCAGCTCATGAGGAGAAGATCATAGCCACTAATGCCATTGAATGCCTTTAATCCCACTTGAGAGAGGAGCTCCCTGGCTTCATCCCCTCCTCAAGGTGATGTTCTTACTGTTGACATGTGGTAAGTCAGCACCTGAATTTTGGATGAGCTACATTCACAACATAACAAGAATAAATTAATAGATAAAAATGAAAGAAATGACTAAATTAATAAAATTAAGAAGTATTTGGTAAATTGAACAAGACTTCTTATCTGTGTATTCTATGACTGTGTATGTGCACATGTAAACATATACAATTACATGTATGCACATGCAGAGGCCAAAGGTCAACATTAGGTATCTTTCTCAGTTGCTGTCCACCTTATTTTTTTATTTGGGGTTGGTTTTGAAAAACCAAAAAGAAAAAAAAAAAGCAAATATGAAAATTGTCTTAGACTTGACAAAGCAGAATTGGGAGGGGGGGGAAGCATGGAAATGATTCCAAGTGATTAGTTCCTAACTGAAACTGCTTTCTTGACATGCTCACTTGATGCTTTTCAAATGCTTTTTAAATTCTATGTTTTGTGTTCTTGGCTCTGGTCCAGGGACAAAACTGCTACCTTAAGCTTAGGGTGATGATTTTTCCTAGAGGGTCTATATCAGTCTGTCAGTGTGGGGCTCTTTAGAGATCTTTAATAGAGTGGAGTGTAACATTAGCAAAGAGGTTATATTTCATTTACATTGTCTTTCTAATCTGGGAGTCTTCACTTTAATTTAAAAGCTGCCTCTGTAATTCTTTGTTTTTTGTTACATATTACTCTTAGGAATCACAAAATTGATTATTTTGTTTTTTGACTTTATCATCTACTAGTAATTTTGTTGTTTGGGGTTGTTGTGGCTTTATTTTGTTTTGATTTGGGGTGAGCAGTCAGGGTATTGCTGTATAGACCAAGATAACCTGAAATTGGCCATCCTTCTACCTCATATTCTCTGGTTCTAGGATTACATTCATGTACCACCACAGATATCTTAATTAATAAGGTTTTGAAAGTAGTATTTTTTGTTTGTTTGTTTGGTTTGTTTTGGGTTTTGTTCTTGTTTCTCAAGACAGGGTTTCTCTGTATAGCCCTAGCTGTCCTGGAATTGATCTGTAGACCAGGCTGGCCTTGAACTCAGAAATCTTCCTGGCTCTGCCTCCCAAGTGCTGAGATTGAAGGCATGTGCCATCACCACTGGATGGAAAGTTGTTGTGTTTTATTTATTTTTTTCTTTAGTAGTACAGATTGAACTCAGCCTTTCACATGACAGATAAGGTTCTCTCACTAAACTATATTCCCAGTCCTCTTTATACTTAAAAAAAAAAAAAAATGAGACAGTATCTCACCAAGTTATTCAGTCTGATCTTGATGTCACTATAGTTCAGGCAGCCCTTGACTTTCTAATCCCTCTGCCTCAACTTCTATAGTAGCTGGGATTACAGGCCAGTACCAAAGGCCTGGCTTTGTCAACTTGTAATTATAGGAGTTTCCTATGTTTTAGACAATAAGTTTGTAAGTGCTGTCTTGCATTAGGTGGGGAGTATTGTGTCTTGTGGTCAGAATAGGAAGGCCTAACAGGATAATTCCATACTTGTTTTTTGCTAAAGTCTAAGCAGCCTCTCATAAAAATGGAAATATGGAAGATAAAATCATTCTAATTAGAGGGTAATCTGGGACTTGGTTTTTCAATCTTTGCATATATATTCTTCTGATCCTCCTCACCCTATAGAAAATGAGCCCCACTCCTGCTCTTGTCTTGCCTGGGTCCCCACCAAATGATGAGTTTGTATATTTAATAAAGGAAGGTTTTATTTTAATATGATGAGAGAGAATACACATAGTTGAAGTAAAATATGGTACATAAAACAAGTTAAACATATAAGGATTATGAACTTGAGTGTTATTGTTTGTTTGAGACAGTGTCTCATTTTGTAGCATGGGCTAGCTTCAAACTCAAGATCTTCCTGCCTCTACAGTGCTGGGATAACTGTGTTAGCCATCACACCAGGCTGTAAATATGTTCTTCTTGTTTTCTTTTAGTATTACAGATTGAACCCTATATAGTATGTGTCTGATTCTAGCACCTGAGAAAATGAAGCAGGTGGGAAGTCCAGCTTGGGCTACATAGTTAAGACCCTGTCTTTAAAAAAAAAAAAAAATGTGTGTGTGTGTCCATGCAAAGATGTGTATGGGTGGGTATGACCCTGCAAATAATTAGGAGAAACCAAAAGGTAACCAGGGAGCTGGAGTTTGATAGGGTACTTTGGCAGCTGTGTAGCAGTACCACTGCCACAGGTTAGAGTGTCTTTGTGGCTCTGTAGTAGATGATTTCCCTCTACATGTTCTTCCTCTTGTTCTGATTCACTGCTCACTGTGCCACCAGCTGTTACTAGTACAAATTCCAGGCATTTGCACTTTAGATCATGGGAATATCTCAGCTATTCAACAATAACAGTTGATCCAGGCATGGTCATATATACCTTTAGTCCTAGCCTTTTCTATATGGTGAGTTTCTGGCCAGTCAGAGCCACCACCACCACTATTGTCGTCATCATCATCATCATCATCATCATCATCATCATCATCATCAAATAGCAACAGCTCCTGCTTTCCCAGGACCTAGACTATCCGTTATTTCTTCTTCACTAGAGCCTCTTACTGCCATTTAACATGCACTGACCTTACCAGTGTGAAGATAGAAGCTTCTGCCAACCTCTTGACCCTCTAGATCCCACAAAGTCCTGCTGCTTTCTTTGTCAGCTATCTCTCAGTGGCACATGCAGTTTTTTGCACCACCATTTGGCCTTGCCCCTTCTTTCTCTTCATGGAGACGGCTCTCATTTAGGTCTTAAGCATCCTCCATGCTCCTGCCTTTTATAGACACTCCTTAGCTGCATCTTGTTCAACCTTTCAGCAGGATCTTGACTGGGCATATATTAGTGTCTTAGAGCTGCTATAACAAAAATTATTATGAACTGGTGGCTTAAAACTGATTCTGAGCCCTAAAATTCCTCAGTAGCTCCAGGGAAGATTCTGTTCTTGCCTCTTCTAGCTTCTGTTGGGTATGGGCCCTCTTTGAAGGGGATATCACTCTGGTCTCTGCCTCCCTGGTCACATTACCTCTTTTCTCCTGTCAGTCTGCAATCACCCCCTCCTTGTGTCTCTTCTACAGGAACACTTACAGAATTTACTTGGATAATTCTAGTGATCTCTTTGTCTTGTAGACCTTCATTTAATTACATCTACAGAGTCCCTCTTTCTCTCTGTCTCTCTTTCTCCTTCCTTCCTTCCTCCTCTCTCTCTCTCTCTCTCTCTCTCTCTCTCTCTCTCTCTCTCTGTCTCTCTCTCTGTCTCTCAGTTTTTCTTTTTTTAAGATTTATTTATTTATTATGTATACATGTATATCTTATCTGCACATACATGCTTCCATGTATATCTGCACACTAGAAGAGGGCACCAGATCTCATAACCGATGGTTGTGAGCCACCATGTGGTTGCTGGGAACTGAACTCAGGACCTCTGGAAGAGCAGTCAGTGCTCTTAACCAATGAGCCATCTCTCCAGCCCTCTTTTGGTTTTTTCAAGACAGGGTTTCTCTGTGTAGCTTTGGAGCCTGTCCTGGAACTTGCTTTGAGGACCAGACTGGCCTTGAACTCTGAGAGATCTGCATGCACCATCACCACCTGGCCAAAGACTCTTTTTCAAAATAAGATAGTATTTACTGATTCTAGATTAGGATGTGGACTTACCTTTTGGGGGCCTTTCACTTATCCTAGTACACTGAAATTGTCTGGTGTCTGGTCTCAGCTCTCAGCTGCTTCTGAGCCTCAGAGCTGGGTCATTTTCCCATCTACTTTGCTCTTTCTCTTTAGATAGTGCCTTTAATTACTATTTATATAAATGACTACTCTACCTGACCGTGTTTAGCCAAACTTCTATTCTTGCTACATATAGCCAGGCCACATAATATCAGCACTTAAGTGGTTTAGAGGCATTGCAGACTTAACATGTCCACAGTAGAACTCATCACATTTCTTAGGTGCCCCCCACCCCCACCCCAATCACCACCTAAGAAAGGTTTGTTGTTCTCAGAGTTCTATAGCCAGTGAATGGCTACTATCCACCTGGGTCCTTGGCAGTTCTCTTACCCTGACTTCCCACACCCAGTTCAACACAGAAAACCTCCTCAGATAGTTTGAGATTTGCTGCTTCTCCTTTTGCTGCCACTACTGTAACCCAAGCAGCACCAGAGTTAGAGTGTTAACAGTCTTTCAGGTCTTATCCTGTGCACTCAGCTCTAATCTAGTTTCCACATAGCAAAACAGAATTTGAGCCATTTTATTTTGTGGCTGAGAATTCCTTATAATGACTTCTTTTGGTTTTAAGATAAAGCCCTAGATATTTCTTGTGGTCTCAGATCCTGTAAGTTCTGGCCATATTCAACTTTCCATCTCTTCTCTTTCTTCCCATCCTCCTCCTGTGTGCACAGCTATCTTTGAGTTCCCAAAACTTCTCTCCTGGATGAGTCTTTGAAAATGCTTTTCCCTGCTCCTCCTTATTGGTGACTAACTTATATTCTTAGATATGGGTAAAATTTTGTGTTCTAGATTGGATAACCCCTATCTTGAGTGTTCAAGTAACCCTTTTTACTTCTCCTTTTATGGCACAAACTATAATAATTCTTTTTTTTTTTAAAGATTTATTTATTTATTATGTGTACAACATTCTGCCTCCATATATGCCTGCATACCAGAAGAGGGCACCATATCTCATTACAGATAGTTGTGAGCCACCTGGGAATTGAACTCAGGACCTCTGGAAGAACAGCCAGTGCTCTTAACCTCTGAGCCATTTCTCCAGTTCCAATAATTCTTTTTTTAGACAGAGTTTTACTACAGGCTGGCCTGGAACTCATGACCTTCCTCCCTCAACCTCCTGGGTGCTGGAATTACAGGCATATGCCACCATACCTGATTCATAATTATTCTTAATTATTAATTAGTTCCCCCCTTGAGAGAATGTGAGCATCACTAGGGCGGGAAATGTGTACATTGCCAAGACAGGGAGTAGCCTAAATAGACTCATATATGAATGAATGGATG